CAACTTTACCATTATCCTAATTTGTAAGGCTGTTGTATTTATCGCATACATCTCTGTATTCTTATTCTCTAAATTTATCTTATAATAGAGTCTTGTAAGTTGCTGAATTTTTAACATTGTTTAAACATGCAACTGAATTTTGTGTGCTTTTGTATCAGCAAATAAGTTAATAACATGATCAAAGTTAGCAATGTTGTCTGCTTCATCACATCACGCTCAATACTAAGTAGTGCCAAAGCAGATAGTCTCGCTTCCCATCGTAGCTCTGAGATATGGCAGGATGAGCTTTTCATGTAGTCGTTACAGTATAGGATAAAAAAAACAAGAGAAAACGGTTAAAATGGACTGAAAAGAAATCACAATCTATGAATTTGCCAATAAAAACAACTACATTCGGATTCTTATTAAAATATTCATGCCTGACGAAATACATCAATTTCGTGGTGTTTTTCTAAAAAGTGCTTCTTTGTTTACTATCATTCACCCATTTCAGCGCCCCCAAACGTAGCGCCCGGGGCACGTGCCCACCTTTGACCCACCTAGCTACGCCACTGTGATGAAAAGATCCTGACAAATAAAGTATAAACATTAAAAGAAGTACAAAAGACAACAGTTACTGCATTATGTGCACCGCTACTGCAGGTGTTATTATATTTCATATATAATCCTTAAATGGGCACCGCTACTGCAGGTGTTATTACATTTTATATATTAATCCTTAGATGGGCACCGCTGTTGCAGTATGGGCACCACTACTGTAATATTAATCCTTAAATTTATTTATTATTAATTAATTTATTCTTTCTTTCTTTATACTGTAGGCACTTTCAGTATTATTTCATTGATTTTCAAAGTGGTACAGTTTAAACATAACAAAAATATATACAATATAAAGAAATGTTTAACAAAAAATAAAAAGAATTTGGGCACCACTACTGCAGGTGTTGTTATATCTTGTACATTAATCCTTAGATGGGCACCGCTACTGCAGGTGTTGTTATATTTTATATATTAATCCTTAGATGGGCACCGCTCTGCATTAATGGCACCACTACTGCAGGTGTTGTTATATTTTATATGTTAATCTTAGATGGGCACCACTGCTGCAGTTATGGGCACCGTTGCTGCAGGTGTTGTTATATTTTATATACTAAATCCTTAGATGGGCACTGCTACTGCATTATGAGCACCACTACTGCATGTGTTGTTATATGTTATACATTAATCATTAGATGTGCACTGCTACTGCATTATGGGCATCACCACAGGTGTTATATTTTATATATTAATCCTTAGATGGGCACCGCTACTGCAGGTGTTGTAATATTTTATATGTTAATCCTTAGATGGGCACTGCTGCTGCATTATGGGCACAGCTACTACAGGTGTTGTTATATTTCATATATTAATCCTTATATGGGCACCGCTACTGCATTACGGGCACCACTACTGCAGGTGTTGTTATATTTTATACAGTACATTAATCATTAGATGGGCACCGCTACTGCATTATGGGCACCGCTACTGCAGGTGTTATATTTTATATATTAATCCTTAAATTTATTATTTATTTATTTATTTATTCCTTCTTTATACTGTAGGCACTTTCAGTATTATTTCATTGATTTTCAAATTGGTACAGTTTAAACATAACAAAAATATATACAAGATAAAGAAATGTTTAACAAAAAATAAAAATATGGGCACCACTACTGCAGGTGTTGTTATATCTGATACATTAATCCTTAGATGGGCACCGCTACTGCATTAATGGCACCACTACTGCCGGTGTTGTTATATTTTATACGTTAATCTTAGATGGGCACCACTACTGAAGTTATGGGCACCGCTGCTGCAGGTGTTGTTATATTTTATATATTAAATCCTTAGATGGGCACCGCTACTGCATTACGGGCACCGCTACTGCAGGTGTTGTTATATATTTTATACGTTAATCTTAGATGGGCACCACTACTGAAGTTATGGGCACTGCTGCTGCAGGTGTTGTTATATTTTATATATTAATCCTTAGATGGGCACTGCTGCTGCATTATGGGCACAGCTACTACAGGTGTTGTTATATTTTATATATTAATCCTTAGATGGGTAATGCTACTGCATTACGAGCACCACTACTGCAGGTGTTATTACATTTTATATATTAATACTTAGATGGGCACCGCTACTGCATTACGAACACCACTACTGCAGGTGTTGTTATATTTTATATATTAATACTTAGATGGGCACCGCTACTGCATTATGGGCACAGCTACTGCAGGTGTTGTTATATTTTATATTAAATCCTTAGATGGGCAGCGCTACTGCAGGTGTTGTTATATTTCTAATCCTTAAATTTATTTATTTATTATTTATTTATTTATTCTTTATACTGTAGGCACTTTCAGTACTATTACACTGATTTTCAAAGTGGTACAGTGTAAACATAACAAAAATATATACAATATAAAGAATTGCTTAACAAAAAATAAAAAGAACAAAAGGCACCGCTACTGCAGTATGGGCACCACTACTGCAGGTGTTGTTATGAACACCCTAAAATTAATATGGATATATGAACAATATGAAATAATTGAGACAGGGCCGGTACTAATAATGTGTGTTTGTAGAATAATAGTTGGTTCGTAGCCAAAGCATCCTAGGCCTCTAGGGGCCAGACCTACATCACCATATAAATTATAATATAATTCTTACCTAGACTAGGCCTAGCCTACGCCCTACAGTAGAGTGGCAATGCGAGGTAATTTTTTAATATTAGGTAAGGCATACCTTAGGCTTTGGACTAGCCGCCTTCATCCAGTGGTAGCCTAGCATTGACATGGCATAGGCCTGGCGCGGCTACATAGGCCATTGTTTATTAGGCCTACTGCCGCTGGTGGTAGCTTCTGTTTATATTCTTTTGACTACTTACAAGGTACAGTACATACAAAAAAAATAGGCCTAGGCTAGGCATATATAATTTCACTTTGTTACTTTACACAAGCAGAACAAAAAAAAAATGTGAGTAGGCTAGGACAGCAGAAGTGTGTGTTCACTGGACCTTGTCGACAATAACATACAGTGCTAGGTGAAATGAATATTCAATTTCTATTGCTACTTAATTATTCATGAACCTACAGTAGTGTCGCCCATAAAACGCTTACCGAAAACCCTCTTATCGTTTACAACTTAAAGGGTGCCACCTATAGTTTACATTACCAGCATAATTTATAATCTGCAAGTTGTTGCAGCATAATAACTTGAACAGTAAATTTGTTTGAATTACGTAGTAAACTACGGATCACCCGTTGAACTCGTACTACAAAAAAGTTTACGATCTTCATGGAATTCAAATAGCAAATTTTATGTATAGGTTTATTCATAAGAAATTTCAATTTATGAAATCCCCAGCTATATATACCTAAACTGAAGTCAAATGTTTATTACTGCTGCAGGTCCTAGTTGTATACCTACAGTTTACATTACCAGCATAATTTATAATCTGCAAGTTGTTGCGGCATAATAACTTGAACAGTAAATTTGTTTGAATTACGTAGTAAACTACGGATCACCCGTTGACCTCGTACTACAAAAAAGTTTACGATCTTCATGGAATTCAAATAGCAAATTTTATGTATAGGTTTATTCATAAGAAATTTCAATTTATGATATCCCCAGCTATATATACCTAAACTATAGTCAAATGTTTATTACTGCTGCAGGTCCTAGCTTATGGAATGGTCATCCTTATGATATAAAACATTTGTTAGTTTACCAGAATTTAAAAAAAACTTGAAGTTACATTATTTAAGCATATACCAAAATTAACGATATACATTACTGTTATTATTATTATTATTATTATTATTATTATTATTATTATTATTATTATATGATTATGATTATTATGAGTATGACTATGATTATAATTTTCATTATGATTATTATTTAATTGTTATTATTATTATTATTATTAAGGGTCACTATGAGACAAGGCCTGCCTTCTAATTGGGATCCTAACAATGGTTAGACCAGCCCCAACTAAGCTAGTCCGAGCTGAGTAGGCCATGCCATCCAAGCCGTCACGGTAAAAGTGGCCGTCCTAAATAACTGTTGGCCGTCTAAAAGACGGCCTGATAGCTCGCTGGCTAAGCCCTTGGTCTTGAAACACGCTATGGCTCTGGCTGTGGCACTCCACTTGGCCACTGGACTTGCTTATGTGAACTTACAGTATGCAGGGGTATTATGACTGATGCACAACTGTTACTTATAATTGCAAATCGTATATTTATAGACATTAGTAGAAACTACAACAATGAGCTAACTCTAAAAGAAAGCATTGATGTATATTTTTATTGGCATTCCTGTGTTGTCGGTAATAATTATACATGATATTAACTTACGGCAACACTTCAAACCTCTTTGAAATTTAACCATTCATATTCATTGGCATCGTTAAATATAAATACACAAGTTTTAAAAAAGAAAATCAGTTGTTTTCTCAACAACCAAAAAAAATTAAAATAAAACATTCAAAATATTGTTTTGTAAGCTGTGATTAATCAGGGATTAACGTGGAATGGCAGGGGAAAAACGATAACATATATTATATTAGAATTGTTTGTACTGGTAATACATTATGACACTGTTACTACCCTTAACTGTACGATTTTGTCTAGAATTGTATAGAAATGTAAGAAAACATTGTTTGGTATATCTATAATCAATTATAAATCCAGATAGGGGCAATAAAAAAAAAATAATAATAAATAAAAAAAATAAAAAAAACAGTAATTACAAATAAAAAAACAATAATTACAAAAAAGGGAAAAAACAACAATTACAAATAAAAAAAACGATAATTACAAATAAGAAAACACCAAAATGAAAAACAAAATATTCAGAGACATGTAAAATTGAATATTAAATCCTTTCTAAAATAAAAAATGGTACAAGGTATTGCAGAAACTGCATAAAACTACTGAAAATATACCCATTTAAAGAATAAAAACCATAGGGCCTACCGTACACATTTCATCTAAAATGATTTGATTAGATTTACTTTTAATAAAATACAGTTATTTAACATGTAACAATCCTAATTTTTAATAATTAATTATTTTTCTTAATAAGACACATTTCAATGTGAAACTGGTGGGTGATGACCATTAAAACATGAAGATGCCTCAAGATAACTGAGTGTATTTGAGATCAACTATAATTATGTTAATTCTCCAAGTAAAAAATTAAAAATTGCTGGTTAAAATGAAATTATTTATATCATTTTAGGAAAAAAAACACTAAACATTCATTGCTCAAAATTACATATTTCAAAAGATCACAACTTATCATTTTGGATAACTTTTTTTCTGCAAGGAATAAGCTAAGTATATATAATTTTGGGAATTGTGTTGGAAACCTTAAAGAATTATATTGTCCCTTGAAAATGACAAAAACTCATTAAAAAATAATTTTGAATTTAACTTGCCTATTTTGCAGTAATATCCAGTGACTGGAAGTGTTTCTATGATTTTTTACTGTAAAATGATGGGTAAACATTTTTTAAATACACTAATTTCTATGTTCAAATTGATAATTTGTATGCTACTTCAAAATGAGCAACTTAATTTCAAAAATGATTTTTATGACTTTTTTTTGCATTTTGCACGGGACAATCTTTAATTTATAATTAAAAAAAGGTTAATAATGCATTAGAGAAGTAATACAAAACTAGCTTTCCCTTATCAATAAGCACCCCACCCCAAAAGTCTAGAGTTTTAAGTTAGGGCCTAATACACATTAATGTGAGCGATTACTATTTAGTTTTTTTGAAAACCTTAATGCCTTACTCAACATAAAGTAAGGATGCAAAATTATACCAAGATGAATAGAAAACCATGCTTTTTTCACAGGTATAATATAAAAGAATTTAGTGAGTAGTGAACAAAGTAATACACTACAAACTTTAAAATGTGTAAAGAGTGAAGATACGTAAAATATCTCATATTCTTCAATAACAGTACGCTAACAAAATTTGTGCACTCTCTAATTATTAAACTTTTTAGAAAATTTTAAATTAGTTTCCCTTTAAGTTTGTAGCTTATACAGTAAAATTATGATAATAATTGTGCAATGCACACATAAAGTTTCAACCAAATCATTAAAAATTTAATAGGTAAAAAATATTAGGTAAAGTTTGCTTAATGTATCAACCTTTATGGCACTTTTTGGAAATATTACTAGCAGTGGTGTGCAAAAAAGCTTCAAAGTGTCTCAATATAGCTGTGTAGTCTATTCTATATTCAATTAAGTTTAATGAAGATTGTTTTACATATTCATATGTTTGTACAAGGTCAATGCTCTTCTGTACATTAGTATGTACAAGTCTATTTTCAACATTATAATATGTACATAGAATATTGTGTATTCAAATATGCCTATATTCAACTCTTGGCGTTAATATTAATTCATCTTAAAAATCTTCTATAATAATACTCAGATGATGCAATTCAGTGCAATAAAGGCATGCTGGAGATAGCCCTGCATGTTCCATTCCTCTCTGCTTTAACTTTGGATTCAAATTCGACTAAGGCTAAAAAATATGGAAAAATATTCACAGTAATTTCATAGAAATTCATATTTAAAAAAATCATAGTTAATAAAAGCACCGATAGTGACTATTTTCTAGCTCATGATTGCTTTATTCTTTTCCTTGGAGGCCCAAATGGAGGTGTTTGTGCGCTTGCTAAGGCTCGAAATGCATCGGCTACAAGGTGTGGTTGGCTTCGTACCATATTCTTCCAACCAGATGTATCCATAACATCTGTTGCATGGCTGTAAAAAATAATATAAAATATATTTAATTAATAAAATATATATAAATAAAATTAAAAAAAACATGGTGCCTTCAGTGCTGAGGGTAGGATGCATGTAAAAATTAGGTCTTCTAAAGTTAGGGGGAAAAAATGTGTTTTCCAAGCACAGTGTAATCTGTAAATTGTGGGTCTGCATATTTCTTTTTACGATGCTTAGGCCTAATTCGAGGGTTCACTCACCCCATTCATTTTGGTTAGTAAAATGATAACCATGGGGCTGCAATCCATGTGTATGTTATCAAAATTATTTACTATGGCTCCTGAGTTAAAAAAATATATTTTTAACCCAAAAAAATTAGACCTTTGATTTATGAGAATTTTGACCTAATTATGAGTTCAAATCCAAATGAAATGCTGCAATTTCTCACAAAAAATACACTATCTCCAGTTGGCACGGAATGGAAATAGTCATCGTTAAAATATGCTATTAAAATATACACATCAAAGAAGGTGACTATAAAAATATATGATCCTACACTACCCTACTTTAAAAATACATAAAACTAAGAGAATGTATGTCAACATCTGTTACTATAAATATATATTAGCAGATCCTGGCAGATAACATTTTATTTTCTATAATTAATCTGGTGAAATATTAAAATGTCATAGAGTAAGTTTTTGCACACGACATGGAATCAGGTTTTCTGTTCAATAAAGTATTCTGCTTCAATAAGTTACTAATTCTATATATTTTATATTTTCCAGCCACAAATTGTTTTTGGTATGAATGATTATTTACAGAAATCCTTGGCTATTGCAATTTGAGTATAGGTAGAGTGTCTTGAGAAATAATGGACAGGATGCAAGTAGTCTGTAGTAGGATGAAGAGATGACCTTGGCAAGTTTGCTGGAGCAGACAGTCAATCTATTAGTTGTTCTCCAAGCTTGCATTTGACAATTCAAATACTGTATATTGAATTATCTGTACAAATTTATTAGTGCATTACAGAAAGTATGTCAATAATTTTCAAAAGGTCTGCTTACGTATTTATAAAATCTATTGCTACAGCTTTAAGTTGTTCGGCGCTGTGGAGATCTGCTAGCACAAGCACCTCGGCAACATTCTCAACAGCGAGATTTGAACACAATGATTCTTCACATAACACTTTCAACCTCTCTATTGCATACTGGAAAAAAAAATTAGTCGGAAGTGAAACAAAAATAAATATGAAAAAGGAAATCCTATAGTTGAAATTTTAACTATTTTAAAAACCTGATTATACACTATATTTAAGGGTGATTAATTCATTTATCCAATCATTAATTGATTGATTGATTCATTGGTAGACTGATCAACTTATTGATTTTATGGATTCATTGATTGATTATTGATTTGCTTGTTGTTTGATTGATTGAATGATTAGTTGATTGATTGTACCTTATCGGCAGCTGCAAATACATCACTTTTGAGGGTGATAATAAGTCTGACAACTGAATGACTGGTCGGTTGATCAATTAATTGATTGATTAATTACTGATTTATTCATCTTTTTATTCATTTATTTAATCATTGATTGACTGACCAACTGGTTGATTTTATGCATTGATTGTTTGATTAAATGATGCCTTGATTGATTGATTGATTTAATAATAATAATAATAATATGTCGTTCTTATATAGCGCTTAATGCCTTTACAAAGCCTCTAAGCGCTTCACATTACTACCACGGTCATTGGATCAACACACGTATGGAACACATTGAACACCAAATTAAATTATTAAGTTAAATTATACTATTATTCCATAATATTACGGCTAGTAATCCGCGCAGTTGTGTTGGAACCTACCAGGTACCCACTTGTACTCCTGGGTGAAGAGAGGCAACCGTAGATAAAGTGCCTTGCCCAAGGACACAAGCGATTTGCACAGTGAGAGTTTTGAACCCCCGACCTCAAGGTTGGGAGTCCAAGCCACAACTGATGCGCCAACTGCTTCTACAATTTAATTCTATTAATTTACTGATTCATTCATCCATTCATTCAATTATTCATTTATTGATGTATTGATCAACTGATTATTTTATGCATTGTATGATTAATTAATTTACTGCTTTGTTCATCCATCCATTCAATCATTTATTTAATCACTGATTGATTGATTGATTTACTAATTGACTGATCAACTGATTGATTTTTAGCATTCATTGTTTGAATATTTGGTTGATTGATTTACTGATTCATTCATCCATTCATTTATTTTTTCAATTATTGATTTGTTGACTGATCAACGGATTGATTTTATGCATAGATTGATCTAATAATTAATTTTATGTATTCATTATTTGATTGAGTTTCTTATCGTTTGATTGATTGATTGACTTGCTTATTGTTTGAATGATTAAATAGATTGATTTTATGCATTCATTGATTGATTGAATGATTTATTGATTGACTGATCAACTGATTGATTTTATGCATTGATTGTTTGATTGATTGATTAATTTACTGATTCATCCATCCATTTATTCAATTATTGATTTGTTGATTGACTGATCAACTGACTGATTTTATGCATTCATTGATCTATTAATTAATTGTATGTATTCATTATATGATTGATTGATTTCCCTATTGTTTAATTGATTGATCGATTGAGTGATTTGCTTATTGTTTGATTGATTAAATTGATTGATTTTATGCATTCATTAATTGATTGATTGACTGATAGATTTATTTGCTTATTGTTTGATTGATTGATTAAATTTATTGATTTTATGCATTCATTAATTGATTGATTGACTGATAAATTTATTTGCTTATTGTTTGATTGATTGATTAAATTTATTGATTTTATGCATTCATTAATTGATTGATTGACTGATAGATTTATTTGCTTATTGTTTGATTGATTGATTGTACCTTATCGGCAGCTGCAAGTAGATCATCAGCCATTTTTTCTAGGTTTTGTGCTTTGCCTGTGTAAATGAATCGTAGAATCTCCCGCATCACCTCATGGTCAACATCAGTGATCTCAACCCTGTTGTGTTTACTCTCTTCCATTTGGTGTTCAAACATTGCATTGAAGACTGGTGAGCGAGCTGTGAAAACAAAATAAGTAGATTCTAATAGCAACACTTACATATTTCAACCTTGAGGGCAGTGTTCAAACTAAGTTTGGTTAGTATAATTCAAAGGGCGATGCAAAGGTGATAGATAGAAATGTGTTGTAATATATAAGGTGCAATCACACATAAAAAAAATATTTATATAAATAATATTATTTATGAAATATAATATTATGTTTATAAGTATATTCTGAAAGTTATATACATTTTTTAGTTAATGTTATGTTTTTTTTTATGGTACAGTAGTTGAATGTTATTTGATTGGTTTTCTTCCAAATGTTTTCAGCAAAGTTGTAAATATTCCTGTATAAGGTTGATGTTTGCATTAATCTTTATAATTGCTGATGATTTTATATTCTTTCAAATAAATTAAATAAATAAATTGAGAAGATAATGAATTGTTGTACAGATACTGTATTTTGTTTTATTGCTGTAAATAAAAGATTATTGTGTTGATCATTATATAAAATATTAGTTATTGAATATATAGTTATTAAATTATCTGTGTTCATTACTTAGCAGGATGCAGTGTAAAATATACAATTGAAAAGTTCAACTCTAAACTGAAGAGTGCCATTGAACTGCCCTAAACTTTGGATGACCAGGATATTTCAGGTTAAACCAGGGATATTGCAAGATGTACACCGGCAACAGGGCAGTATCATTGACAAAGCCTCTCATTGTTTGACTGTCAAGTCGATATTTTATGTTATTACATTAGGCCCAAACAAGTGTCAAGAGTTTATGAGACATTTCATTACTTTTTATTCCTTATTTCACTTTTAAAATGTAACTTGGATATCACTCCCCACTCCAAACCCACAACTCCCGGTTAACATAGAGTCTAAAAATTACAGTTGACCTAAATTTCAAAATAATTATGTTGATATTTCCATGTTTCATTAGTGTTATTTCCTTGCTCACGAAGTGGTGTTAAAAATTAATAGATGAATAACCACTAATGACCATGGAAGAACACAGTGAATGCTTTAGGATTTTAATCGAAAGGTGAGTTTGAACCTGGAGCTGGTCAAGTTTCTGTCCTTGGGCAAGACACTTTATCTACTCTCTTTCCTCACCTAGTGTTTTTGGTAGGAGGTGAATGATTGGAAATGAAATTGGTGTACGCTGAATTACATGCATGACCAGGAGTATTTCCCCAAGGAATGAAGGAGTGTGTACACTGTGGCAATTGATTCTAGATCCAACGATCAAGAAAAAATTCTTTGTTTAACTATGTATTAAAGAGGTATGTTCATAATGTAAATTAAAATAGTCAAAAACTACTGTTGCTCTAAATTTCAATATAATTAATATGCTTTTTCATATCTCATTATTAGTGTTGCTTTATTGCTGATGAAGTGTTGTTAAAAATTCAACTAACAATCATGAAAGCATAGAAAACACAGTGATGGCTGTAGACTTTCAATTGAAAATAAATAAATAAAATAAAATGAAATGAGAAATGGTCAAAAAGCGTTGCCATACAAAAAAAAATGGCTGCTGTATGAAAAAAATAGGGAGTAAAATGATTGAAAAATTCATCACACAAGAAAAAAAGTGCAAAATTAACATTATATGACAAAACATTGTAAAATTATCATATATGGGAAATGGTATACAACGACCTTATAAAAATTATGCAAAATAAATGCCAACAACCGCAATGACCTCTTACCTGCTAACAGCGCTTTGTGTGCTTGGTACTCGCGTCCATTGACGCATAATGTGACATCGCTGAAAGATGACCTCTCTAATAACGTGTTTAAATCATCTGCCAGTCTGCATTCGGGCACTTTCAATTGTGACTGGCTGGATTGACCGGATATATTTACAGAATCTTGAACTACACTTACCTAGAATAAAATATAATTACAGGTTTTATCGAATGGCAGCTTACATACAAATATTCAGGCATAAATTTTCTCAACTATCAAATCAAAAGCCAAAATTGGCACTCTACGTTATAAAGCAAAAGAATCTATAAAAAAGGGAGGAAAAGTGGCAATAAAATGACAGTTTATCATCACACAGCTATCAGCTTTCACATAGATTTCAATACAATGATTTATATTACAGTAGTGCAACATTAATGGTGAGCATACCAGTACAAAATTCAATGGGAAAAAGTCATGTTTGTGATAAAACATTCATTCAACTACACAAAGGTCTGTAGTTTCATGAGGAATACAATGAATTTGTGCTCAAGTTTCATTTATACGGCAATCTTTGACATTTATTGCCAACTTCAAAATATGTACTCATAATGAAATATTTTAGGGGGTAGCAGAGGTGCATGTATACATGTGGTGATTACCACATCTATTAACAACAGGATATTTATTAATAAATGAACCTTAACTTTCAGCTTTATATAGCACACTTCCCTGGGAAACCACAAAGGTTTCTTTTCATTCGAGTGTTTCCTATTCTAGTGTAAAAAAATAATTCTTTTATGAGTGTTCCCTAAGCTGGTATAAAACCCACCAAATGGCCAATCATTATTGCTTTTATAGTGCTTTGATATGAACATGACTGCTATTTCTAAACAATATGGCTTTTGTTCACTAAATGCTTTATTTTAAATATATACCCTACAGTATGACTGTGGCAGGTTACAATGCAAGTTTCTGCTTTTTAAATTTACATTGTTTCTTTTGTTTTTCCTTCCCATCCTTTGTTCATCTGAAACTCAGTCTTCATATTAACATCAAACATTAAAGATTATATCCTACTACATGATTAGATATAGTAGCAAACAGGGCCACAAATTTTTCAACAGTGACAACATCAAAACCTTCATCCAGGTAATCAAATAAAAGAGGATGCAGGTTTCCCTTCCCCAACTTCTGTGTATGTCTGTCAGACAGAAAACATACAGGTGAATCTCTCCTTCTCCTTCCCAGCTTCTTACTAATGAGTTGTAATTTGTTTATTTTACATTTTACAAATAGAAACATACCACCACCAAAAAAAATTAAATGTTTGAATTTTTAAATAAAAATTTGAATTGCTCACTTTAAAAAACTAAATAAAAAAGAATGGCAATTAAAAAATCAATGATTTACAAACATCTAAAATACATTTTTTTTTTTAATTTGCTGGTAAACACTGTATTGATGAAACTATTTCGTTTAACATCTGTATATTAGCTAGAAAAAATGTTCATATTCATATAGAAATACACAGGTTTTCAAACCCATTCAATTCATGTTTTTCAATTTTATATTTAAACATAATAACAAATAAGAAATTTAAAATAATTCAACATTCTATTACCAAATAAACATAGGTTGAAAAAAAAAATGAACTTATAATTTAAACTGATCCATTAATCACTGGATCAAAGAAAATCCAATCCACAATCTCAGATCAACAGCTAAGTTGAGAAATGTACATTTAAAACCATTAAATTCTGGTTTGCTATCTCTGTTAACCAATACCGTACATGCATAAAGCTTGTTTATTAGTTTTGTCCTCAATTACATTGCATATTATAAAAAACAATTTTGCACAACCTGAATCACAACGTAACCTCAGCCATAGTATCTAATTCCCATAAAAATATAACTTTGAATACCGTACGTTTATTTACATATCATAGATTAATATTAGCATAGCAATAAATATAGTTCAGAGGTTTTATTAACATGAACATTAAAGATGTGAACTAGAGTGGATTATAACGGCTGACTGGCTAAAGTGCCCGGATTCATTATTGTAAGGTCATAGGTTCATTCTATGTAAATACCATCAATTTAAAAATGACTTTCAAAGCCTAGATCAAAATTATGAATATTGTTTGGATTATAATTGAATTGCATTGTAAGAAGAAATTTCTGAGTGTACTGTAAAATAATTCTTTTGCCATTTTTAATCAACTTATTAAATTTGGATCTTGAAATTAAAAGTATTAAACTTTGAATTATGTGAATAACCTGTCTAATTTTACATTGATGAAATTATTTATATTTACTAGAACTATAATACACAACCATTGGCAGTATTCTATTTCTGTAGGGTGATTTAAAATGTTATTAGTTTAATTTGACCCAAATTAATTTGTTTTCTAGTTTCATAAACTTCCTTTTTTCTGAATATGTTGGCTTCCTGTGAAGGGGCACCCTGAGTATTTTCCCTTAAACGAATACCGGCGCTATGTAAATTTTCATTATTATTATTATTATTATTATTATTATTAATTTCAGAAACCGATTTTGGCAGCATCTAAGTTCCCCTTTATGGATCCTTTCACAGAAATGCAGGTTCTGCCTTTTTGTCTTTTTAATTGTTATTTGTAATTTCTGGCAAATATAAACCGCCCTCAGATGTGACACAAATTATGAACATTATTTTACCACCACTTAACCCATGAGTATTATGTTTACACCTGGTTACAAGCGAAATCCAGTCACTGCGGTTAATTTCTTCATGCGTTGACATATATACAACAAGCATGGTGCTGAGAAGACCCCAGAGTACAGACTAGCTACCTGATTCATCTACCAGGAAAACAAAATTTGGATTTGAAAAACAAAAGACTACAGTGCCCATAGACAACAGGGACAACTAACAATCAACTTCTGTTGAAGGATTTGTTTACACTCGTACTATACTCTCCAAAGGCTACATATTGTAACAATTTGTTTTCCTCATAAATTTAAACTGTTATTGTTCCTCTGGGGAGAGTTCTCTGCTTCTTAACATTCTGCAAGATAAATGTATGGTCAGGTATGTAGCAACTAGTATCCCTTACCTCACAAAATAATGTTAGCCTATCGTCTGGAAGGAGACCATTTGCCTCTTCCATTAGGAAATCTCGTCGAATAAACTTTTTAAAGCCCCAGTCTTTCCCTTGAACAAACCTATATGCACGCTGACTCTCTGCAAAAGTAAAGTTAAGATTGTATTTATAAATTTCATTTGATAAATAATAATTTCTTTTAGACAGTGTCAAGGTAGTAGTGTTTTTTTAAACATAAACAAGGATGATCGTCTTGAAAGGTTAATTATCATTTGGAAGTGAGGGCCTTGGTGCTCATATTAACCAAGTCCCTGTCAGAGGTTTGAGTAGTGAAGGGCTAACCGATATTCTGGTGTGAAACTGTAGTTTGATGGCTAAACAGACTGATTGCCTTTCAAATGGAACTTGGAATCAAGTCCTACCAAGTGAATTTCATTTCTCATAATGAAAAACAACTACATTCCTCAAGCCTCATAGTCTTAATTTATGAAGAGTCATGTGTTTATGTTCGTGTTGTGAATGAGATTGCGACATTCTATAAAAGGCAATGATGTATTACTACTGGGAATCTTGAGTACATGGAGACATCCATGCTCTGAAAAGCTTGGGATATGGGAGGGAGAGGGGGGAATGGTCTGATCACTTTGAAAGTGCAATGCACATCTCTTTCTGATGTTTAGGAAGTGTAGGACTGATAATTTTGGTCGAACACGCAATCATTTGTTACATATACTTGTAATCCAAGTCTTTGAAAGGCTTGAAGTTAAGTTTTTTGGGGTTGTAAGCAAAATTCCTATTGCATTTTTGCCAGGACTGAACACAAGACCTTGGAATTAGAAGTAAAGATAAAAACCTCGAAACCACCACAACTCTTCCCACAATCACCATTACCTATGGTGAACAGTTTCATGATGAAGGTGTCTTGATAAAGAGCTTAGTAATTAAAACAATTACAGAACATATTATCTCCTTACCCATTGCTTTTGTTTCTTCCCTTTTAGCATTCAGAATAGAAAATTTAAATTTTGCTCGGACTTCACTTTTATTACAGGAAACCAATAGTAAATAGAGAGATAAATAATCTTTGCTTTCCTCATCTAATCCTTTGGGGTTCACTCTTAGGCACCTGAGGTTTAGAACAAGAAAAAACAATTAATAATAATAATATTTATTGACATTACACTTTTACATCAGTGGCAGCACACAAGAAAGTGGCGCAAGCAAACTTAAACTAATGAACAAATAGTAAAAACAACAACTTAAAGCTAAACAAATGAAAGAACTTATGAACAAAGAGTAAAACAACAACTTAAAGCTAAACAAATGAAAGAACTTAACTAAAGAAAATACAACTTAGATCTAAAATAAATCATGAACATCCCTCACCCTCCCCACACAAATAATGTACATAATACACATTACGTGCATACAGTACCCCACCCAAATATGTGTGTATATATATATACATATATATACATACATATATATTATAAATATAAATTAATTTATATTATAAATATAAATCAATTATAAATATGTGTTTCAATATATTTTTTGTAGAAAAACAAGTTTAATAATAAATACTGTAATAAATTTTTTTAAAGTAATTTTCCATTGCAGGAAAATAAAAACACTAAATATCAAATGTGTAAAAACTGTCATGAAGAAAATATAATTGAAAATAATTATTAACAGATAGTTCATAATTTTACATAAAAAAATCATATTGAATATCACACAATAATTAGCCAGATGATAAGATGCGCTGTTGAAATATTGTCTAGTGAAGAAATTCTAATTGAAAATAATTAATAACAGAGTTCATAATTGTACATAAAAAATTATATTGAACATCACACAATGATTAGCTACCTGATAAAAGGCACTGTTGAAATAGTGTCTAGTGAAGATTCTAAAAAAAATCTAATTGAAAATAATTAATAACATAGTTCATAATTTTACATAAAAAACCATATCGAATATCACACAATGATTAGCTATCTGATAAAAGGCACTGTTGAAATATTGTCTAATGAAGAAATTCTAATTGAAAATAATTAATAACATAGGTCATAATTGTACATAAACTTTCATATTGAATATCACACAATGATTAGCTACGTGATAAATGGCACTGTAAAAAATTTTAATTGAAAATAATTTATAAAAGGCAGTTCATTATTGTACATAAAAAATCATATTAAATACAAGGGTGGATTTTTGGAAGGTAAAAAAAAAGAAAGAAAGTAAAATAAAAAAATGATCGCCCAAATCGCCTCAGAGGTAATGTTTGGCATCTAGAACACAAAAATTTCACGGAAGCATGCCCCCGAACCCCCTCGGGTAGTATTATCTCAATCAGCCCCACTTTCGGCCACCCCTTTCGGATATCTCTGGCTCTGCTCCTGGAATATCAAACAATAATTAGCCACATGATAAAAGGCACTGTTGAAATGTTGCCTAGTCATAATTTTTGTATAAAATTGATCCTTTCAAGTATACTGAACAATGCTTTATTGAGCTTCAACAATTACTTTTGAGTGCAGCTCCTTGTATCTGCATGTGATTATCTGAGATACACTTCTGGAGTATTGGTGACAGCTAAACTAAAACTGTGAAATTGTAAAGTTGTTATTTTTACCGATACAATAATTTTTTTTTACTTTAACAGGTTTAAATCTTAGCAATCGACACAGGTGACCTTTATAAATGACTTGAGTATGATTTTTTTTATCCTAATGTGCTTTTTGGAGCACATTAGCACATTTTCATGCTTTCCAATTTGGAAACTGACGCCAGCCAAAATCGGTCAAGCAAAACATCAACACATCTTGGTCAGTAACTTATTCAATTTCTGCCATCTTCTATAATGACCTTTTCTAATGTGACCAAACAGGCATCGATTAGAAAATTCTTAGAAGTCGGACTCTGACAAATTCCTTTCCATAACATATTTACCACATAATAGGCCTACCTAATTGTACTTGTACTATACATATTAAACATTTATAAAGAATGAATGGTTTGCAGTAGTTTGCCATTTACACATCTTGGTTTAGTGACTTACAGTATTCAATTGCTGCCATATTCTATAATGCCTTTTCTAATGCAACCAAACTGGCATCGATTAGAAAACTCTTAGAAGTCGGACAATGACAATTTATTCCATTAAATAACACATTTACCACATACTGTAGTGCTCCTATTATGCTGTACATTAAATGATTCTGAATGGTTTGCAGTAGTGTTTGCCACTGACTGTGGGTTCATTTTAGTCATTAGAGCTGTCCTTAGTCTCTTGTCCAATAATAATAATAATAATAATAATAATAATAATAATAATAATAATAATAATAAATAAACATTTATAGTGCCAATTTCCAAATAAATGATCAAAGAAACGAAAGCATACATAGAGTATGAATTTAATAAAGTAGTAGAGTAATAAATAGAAAATACAATGTCTATATGAACGTGGAAATAAGAGTCAAGACTAGATGGATTGAAATAGATTAGTTTTTAAATTGAGTTTAAATGAATCCAAGGAGGGCGAGTTTTTAAATAATAATAATAGTTTATTCTAATATAACGCAAGGAAGCTCTCAGTCTCAATGCATAGTACATAATGGAAATGTTACACAGCAATCCAAATACTTATAAAAAGGCACTTTAATCGTTGAAATATAAAAATGTTACTTATATTTCTTCTATTATTATTATTATTATTATTATTATTATTTATAACTATACCTACAGTGATAAGTCAGAACTAACAGGATGATTCATAAACAATAAATAATTTAGCCTATATGTGCCTCAATTTAATATAAACATGAGGGAGAGAGCAACCAAATGTAGGTCGCATTACACATTTCATATCATGTATAAAACAAAATTTGAATTTAATTACTCGTATACAACACACAGAATCAGCAATACACCTCAAGTACTGTTATTAGTAAGAATTTTCTTGATGTCATTCTGCGAACAGTGGCAATGAGTAATTAGTAAAAGAGCAATGCCACACCACCAAAGCACTTGATTCGTTTTGCTGTTGGCAAGTAGGTAGATAGCAGTTAAGATCAATCTACAGTGCAGTTGTGAATTGAATTATTACTCTATATGTTAGCTTGATCTACTTTTAAATGTTATGTGGTTTTCACATTGCCAATATAAAGTAAGACAATTATTATCATTATTATTATTAATCAAGGGGGTTTGATATTCACAAGACTACTAACACAATGATATAATCATCAAAATTATCTTATAAATATTCATTTAGGCAGTGTTTTGAAGGTTGTACTCATTTGAGTGAGAATGGTGTGTGGTTTTTACCACTCCCTTGGTAAAATTAATAATTTGTATATAAATGAGAAAGAAAAAATCATAAAGGATTTCCTGTAACAAATCAATACATCTATTGTTATTTGATGTACAGCAAAATGTACAAAAGAATATATTTGTTCGAAACAGTAGTCCTACTGTCAAAGATGAAAGGACACAACACTTTGTAATACAGTAGATACAAACCATTCATTATTCACTGTGGAATCCATCTAATAAAAATCACACATCAGACTGGTTCTGACGACCCCCACCCCTGTCATCCGATGCCACAACGATGTTGTCTGACCAAAAATATTACAATAATTTGCCTATCCAAAATGTCATTTTTATTGCCTATCACTAATATTATGGTCTAAAAACACTTATTTTGAGCCATACTAAGCCATGAAAACTCTCTCCATGAACCCTACCAGGATTTTTTATTCCAGGACCCTGATCGAGGCTCTAGTCGGCCCCTTAATTCGGGCCTTGCTTTCAGACATGTCATACCCCTTGTCGGCAAATTTCTGGAGCCTCCACTGACCCCAATAGAAATACTGTAAGCCTACCGTACAAACTTTATTGAGTAATCCTCGAAATCTGATTATTATTTTATTTTTGTGTATATTGAATTCACATACTATAGTTTTTGTAAACACAACTTAGCCATCCTTACTAACATTACTCCATTATATCAGATTTGAAAATTTCAAACAGGTTATCGCTACCTGACATTATAATCTCGTTAACCCTCTAGATACCGTCTTCGACTATAGTCGAAATTGACCTCAAACCGAGAATTCCCATTTTCGACTGCAATCGAAATTTCGTGACTAAAAAATAGGTGGTTTTCAAATCGCTCTTCTGTTTTTATTTTAGCTCCAATACGTCAGAAATTTTGAACATGCATGCGTGAAGCTTTTGTTTTTCGAAATCTGTGAAGAACTCACATGCGCTTATATAAAAATTTTTAGAAATATCAATTTGAAATCGTTATTAATTAAAAATAAGATAAGAGCTTATAATGACGATCTTACCTATGGAAATTTAAGTTGACCTTACTTCCTGTGAGTTACAGCGCATGCCGCGAAAGAAGTAAACAACACACCGCGAAAGTACGAACACAAATATGGTATGGCTAAAGCATGTCATCCTGTTGGTTTTATTTTTTTCTTTGCCCAGAATTTCCGGCAAACGAATGATCGAACCAACGAAGAGATCAATTTACGTCACCGACGGATCATGACTAACACAGTATTGCGTTGCAGCTGAAAAGTGTACCAAAAAACGTGTTTTCTGAATGCCAGCCCTCTAACGAATGCGTGTTAAAACATGCATTTTTAGAACGCATTCCTAACTGTGTTTTTGTATTTTGGCCCGTTTCTGCTGGAAAAAAAACATGTTTTTTATTAATGCTTTTAAAAACATGTTTTTTTTTTGTTCAGCAGAAGCAGACCCTCTATGAAAAAAAGTATGAGGTACCCATATTTGGGTGTATATTGATATGAAATCACCATGATCAAACAAATTTGTCACATAAAATTTCACAGTGTTGACAAAGAGAGCTGTAAGAGAATAATCGCATATCATCAAAATTAAAAAAATATTAATGTTGTATTTACCATAAACCTCCATCCATAAATATCCACAATATATAATGTTATGTAAGAAAAACGGGTAAATATGATATGCCCATATTTGGGAGTAATATGACATCACTGTGTCCATACATGGGCACATGACACAAATAAAATTTCATAGTGTGAACAGCGCTTTAGATCCCAATACAATCGAGCA